CATATTACATCTTACTATGCTAATTATGTGATACTATTATGATACTGAAATACCCTCACATAATTGCTTTAAATTTTTTGATTACTAGATGAGGCACAAGGTACTGAATTGGTAATCCATTTATTTGCTAAAGATGTATCGCAATCTATTTATCCACTTTTTGATTGCTAAGGATGAGGCATAAAGTGTCAAGTTAGTAATCCAGATGTGTAATTTTACCTTTATTTTCCCATTTGATTACTAGGTAAGGCACGAAGTACCAAATTAGCAATCTATATATTTGTCAAAGATTTATCGCAATATATTCACTCACTTTTTTGATTACTAGTGAGGCACATGTGAAATGCCAGTATTATATCATTCTTGCAATTTACCTTTTATAACCCTTTTAATTACTGAGGATGAGATATGAATTGCTAAATTAGTTCAGGCTATATTGCTTTCATACCTTTTTTCATATATTTTTCTAAACCTTTCTGCCTTTCTGATCTCTTTCCTGCCTATCAGCAGTAGTATGAAAAAGCATAATTTCTTATTTCTTTTCTATATAATTTTACCTTTAGGTTCTACCAAATCTATATCTTATTTTTTACTTCTGTATTCCTAGAACTCTTTCTCATATAGTTGCTATTTTAGGATATCCCTATGTATAATTACTTTGGATTATTACTGTATTGATTACTTTTGAATACTAATATATTAATTACTTTTAGGTATTATCATTTGACCTAGTACTTTACTGACAAATGTATTTACTTAAAATTATATAAAATTTTTATTTTGAACTTTGCTAATTTTTCTGTTATTTTATATTGTTTTCTTACATATAAATCATGCTTCTTATGCAAAAAAATCCCAGGCTTAGCCCAGGCAAAATAAATAAAATGTCTAGACTTTTCTCTAATTTTGTGAACTTTGATTATAAGCCTAATTACAATAATCATATATACTTTCAATATTTGTCTAATAGTAAAGATGATTAGATATCTATCATTTTAAAGAAATTTTTTCCAAATACATTATTCGCATAGTAGAAAATGATTTTATGTTAGTTAATCACCCATCTAAAGTTTATGGGTTACCTAATACTCATAAATGTATTGATAAAAATCTGCCTCTTCGCCTGATTTTAGATATTTATGTGAGGCAAAACCCTTTTTTTTCTCATTTATATTCGAAAAAAGATTAAATCTACCTGTTTTTAAAAAGAATGAAATGTAAGATTATAATAAAACTGATTCTAAAGTCTTAATGTATGCTCAAAGACAGAAAGGAAGATGCTTGGCAAAAGTTAGTCCTAATTAAAGATAGTTCCCATAATTATTTTCAAATTTCAATTGAGTTGCAACTTAATTGCGCCATAAGGAAATTTAATTGCATCACAAGTTGCAGTTCAATTGCACCATTTTTTTTAATTTGGTAACCATCTTTAGTCCTAATACATATTTATAGTTATATAAAAAGGGTCATCAATGGGAGACATCATATAAAATATGAAATAAAATTATAGATAGTGTAACATTTATCCTAATGTACCAAAAAGAACATGCTGATATATATTTGAAGATTTATTACATAAAGAATTTCTTCTCTAAAAATCCAAATTCTTAGAAGAATTACATCTAGATAGATACAATGAAGAGCTGGACTTGGCTTTTGAATACAGTGATAATCAACATTATCAAATTATGCCTTTTTTTCACCTGTAAGGGCAGATGAATCTAGACGCATAAATCTAGCATGATTGGAAAAAGAAGACATTATGCTATAAGAAAGGAGTAATTATTATAATTATACTTTACTGCATAGTAAACTTAGAAACTTTTATAAGAAGCATCTTATACACATTCAGTTATCTTCTAATACCCATCTAGAAGACAACATAGGCTCTTCCTTAATATACATTAACTGTTCTCTTATGAAAGGTTATTAAGGCTCTGATTCATCTAAATAATATAAAATAAGCATTAAAGAATTTTTTTCAACAATTCTCTAAATCTTATGTAGGCTAAAAGACTATATCAGATCTGTTATTATGTGTCTTTCAAAAGGATCATTTTTTCATTCTCCAAAAGCAAGTAAGAATTATATAGTAATACTCTTTGGTAGTTGTGATTCATTAATACTTATTAGATGATTATATTTACCTATAGTTTAGAATATATTCTCTCAAGTTTTGTGGTATTATTAAGACTTATTCTAATCAATTGAGTTAGGCTATTATTCATATTATTAACAATTTTTCTTGCAAACTGCTCATATTCTCTACAGCGCTTTTAGTAGATAAAAGAAACTCTACTAAATACTGATTTTTAAAGACTCTTAATTCAAATAATCCAGCATAATGGTCAACTATAACTAAGCTTATATGTCTAAAATATGCTATACTCCTTCAGATTTTAATGTCATATTCATCCATTAATAAAGTCACATATCCTATAAACTTAGTATTCTTATCATATTGTAATTTTTGAGATCAATTAAGGGATTATCAGAATTATCATATATACTCTTAAATGCTTCTATAACTTTCTCACTACTCTTTGATATTAAAAAATAAATCTTTATATCTAGTCACATAGTCTATAACTAGAGTTCTAAATCAGATCAAGTCGACCTATTTACCTGACCTGATCTAATTTAAAAATCCAGGTCAGGTTAGTAGATTTTCAGATTAATATCAGATCAGGTCAACCAATTATCATTCTCGAATGATAGTTTTATTATTTAAGAATGATATTTTATCATCTAAGAATGATATTTTATCATCTAAGAATGATATTTTATCATCTAAGAATGATGTTTTTATTGTCTAAGAATAATAGTTTTATCATTCAATTAGAATGATTTATTATTATCTAAGAATAATAGTTTTATCATCTGAGAATGATAGTTTTATCATCTAAGAATGATGGTTTTATCATTTAAGAATGATGTTTTATCATTCAATTAGAATGATTTCATTATTGTTCAAGAACATAATTTTATCATTCAATTAGAACGATTTATTATCGGTTGAGAATGATGATTTTATCGTTTAATTAGAATGATTTATTATCATTCGAGAATAATAATTTTATCGTTCAAGAATGATATTTTATCGTTCAATTAAATGATTCATTATCGTTCGAGAATGATAATTTTATCATTTGAGAATGATAGTTTTATCGTTTGAGAATGATATTTTATTGTTCAATTAGAATGATGATTTATCATTTAAAAACGATGTTTTATCATTTGAGAATGATGTTTTATCGTTCAAGAACGATAGTTTTATCATTCAAGAACAATGATTTTATCATTCTTGAATGATAGTTTTATTATTCGTAAATGATATTTTATCATTCAATTAAAATAATTCATTATCATTTGAGAATGATAATTTTATCATTTAAAAATGATGATTTATTATTCAAGAACGATAATTTTATTGTTCAAAATAATGTTTTATAATTCGATCAGGTCAGATCAGGTCAAATAAAAATTTAAATCAGGTCAGATTTTTATTTAACCTGACCTGATCCTTTCAGTTCAGGTAACTTGATTGACCTAACCTGAACTGACCTGTTTAGAGCTCTATCTATAAACAATAGTATATAGTAAAATATTAGGCCATCATCTAGTAAATTTGTATTCACATCTTCATCATATAGTATTTCAATCAAATTACATTGGTATACAGTATTTAGCTTCGTAATTTTAGAATAACTGGTATAAGATATATGCTTTAGTGAAGGATGAAAAATTTGATACATTGCTTATCTATCAAGCTATTTTTTTACATCAATAAATGGAAAGCTGTAGCTGGCTTTTTTACAAGCATCTCATAATTCCTTAACATTTTAATACAGACCTTCAAAATGATAATATAGTTTTTGCAAGACAAGATGCCAGTCTAAATTATGAGTTTTTTTGAGGATCAATATTAATTGTAGGTGTTTGTTTTACTATGATTTGGTCTAGTTCTTATGTTTTTTGAGGATCGATATAAATAATCAGTTCTCCCATTCTAATTTTTTTATAATTATGAAAAAAAAATAGTATCTATGAAGTTCAATTCTACTCATTAGCTAAGACACTTTTTTCCTTACACTTTTGCCTAACTTCTATTTCCTTCTGTAGGTTTAATAGAATGTCAAATCTTAGCTGAATTATAAGAGGATCATCCTCTAACTTAGTGAGATCAAATACAATAAATACTTTTTTTCAAAGGTAGCTATTAATGACTATTAAAGCATTTTTTATACCATCAGTATATTACCTAATCTTGGAAATATTTTTATGTGAACTACCAGATTACAGATTACTATATATGAGATATTTTCACACATAAATGTATCAATTTTATGATATTTTGCACAGTTTTGACAAGCTTATCCACAATCAAAAAAATAATATTTTTTTTGCATATGTATTTTATTAATCATTTCTCATGTATATTAGATTTATAGATCTTACTATATTGGACTTTAATTATTGTACAAAAACATGACTTAATGTAAATTGCAATTCTGATTTTTCTTATATCATGCACTAACTTTGAGCTATTTTTTTTATATGCATAATGATATTAGATTCCTATTTTAACGAAACTTTACTTGAAGAATATCATTTTTTTGGATTTTTATAAGTATTGTCAAAAACAGGATGATTTTACTTTTTCTTTTCAAAAAGAGATACTCAGATTTCATAGAAGTCTTGACTATTTACTGGAAAGTGATTATTTATAAGAGTTAAAAGAAATATTAAGAAACTGAAAAGGAGCTTTGAGGCAAGTTTTCTTTTATTTCTTAGTAAGGCAATGATAAGCAATATAGAAGACTTCTAGTAGTTCTAAGAAGGGTAAAACTCACACAACTACAGTGGGTATCTTCATGTTATCCACTTTGTCTATTGTAGTCTACTGATAAAGTAGTATAAAAGATTTCCAATAGACTTGAAAAGGATAAAACTCATACAACTATAATGAGCATCTTCACATTACCCACTTTATGGTCTTTATGTCTGTTGTGGTCTGCTTTGTACAGATTAATTAAAAAAAAATTAACATAAAGTTGGTATACTAATTCATTTCACTAATTTTATAAAAAATTATTGTTATCATTGTAAAGATATTGAAATATTTTGGAATAAAATCGAAGACGATCTTATAAATATAATAATAAAAATTAAAAAAAAGAATTATATTTGTCTGAAGTTTGTTTTTGAGTATTTTTTTTGATCTATTTGTCTATATATTTTATTGCAGATTGGTGTCACCTGTTCTATGATGAATAATACTACACTAACTATTTCTTATTGTTTATTTATAGGTACAATTTTGTTTGAATCAATCTTTAGCTGAAAATGAGGTACAAGTTATCTTGAATTAGATAAAGTTGGGTATTTTGTCAGATAGGAAGAATTTCAAGAGAAAAACTACCAATAATACAGAAAAAGACTATATAGATGCATTTATATTACCTATAAAAAAGATATTCTATTAGAGTTTTTACAATATTTTATATTTTTACATTAAATTTTTGCATTTTTTTAGAATGAGATCAATAGATTTTTTCAAAGCCCTACTGAACAAAATCAAACTAATGTGATAATGAAATGGTTTAAATCAAACGAAAAGAATAATTTCAATGAAAAAGAAAAGGTATAATATTCACATTAAAATAAATTATTTAGTTATCAATATTAATAGCTTCAAATTCAAGGATTTCATAAGATTGTATTTACTTACCTAATTCTTTTTTATGAACAGCCTATTAGTTATTCACAAAAGGTATTAAATAAAGAGATTGAATTGGAAATATATAAAAAGGTAAAAGATTATAGGCAAAACTACAAGAACGTAAAAGCTTATGTATTTTTCTATATTTAAGCAAAAAAAACTATGAGAGTTGCTTCAAAAATAAATATTCAGAAATCAAAAAATGCTTCAGAAATAAGTATTCAGGATAATAATGAAAAGTCTTTTGAGTAGTCTTCCTCTTCTGATTTAGGATCTGAGAGTAATAAAGAAATAAAGTTTGATTTTGAAAGTATTGAAAAAAAATTGTTACAGGAACAACTAAATGAAATACATATCAAGATTCTGATGCTTTTATTCTGCATATCCTAATAGTTTACATTCATTTTTAGTGAAAAGTCAATACTATAAATGTATCGTAAAGGTTTAGAAAATATCAAATAGAGATACTGCAAAAAAGTGAAGACTGATGGATTATGATGGTGTAATTTCCATAAAGTGTTATAAGTATTTTTGATCATATAATGATTATACTGGATAATGTGTCATGCTAACGAATTATGTTTAATAGGGCATTGTCTTCTGTAATTGTATTAAATAGCCTTATTCTTACCCTGATCATATTTTTACCAATTGGGAATAATGAGCGATTACAGATGAGAATCCCTATGCTATAACTGAACTAGTACTATTATCAGATATATATTTTTCTTTACGGAATTCTTTGACTGAATTCATAGAAGGCAAGATTCCTTTTTTATCCTTAAAAGATTTTAAAATTGAGCAGGTGGTCTTACAAATATTTAATGATATATAAGTTTTTTTTATAACATACTGTATCTAAAACCGAGAATAAATCTGTCTTAACTTTTTATTTCATGTATAACAGGTGTAGTAGTATTTTTAAAGTTACTTCAACAAAAATTTCAGAGAACGAACACTACTTTAAGTTACTACATTTAATAAACTACCTATTGTTTTTTACTGATTCACTTGAAGAGTACGTTATCTGACTGAATCATGCTACTAGCAATACAGTGACAAGATCTGATTTTTTGTGTCTGATTAATGATATTCCTATTTTGAATTCAGAGATAAAGCCACCTGAATTTATACCTCTTCAAGGACAAAAAGACAAGTTGAAGGTACAGTTGAGATCGCGAAGTCAATCAATTAATTATTAAGAATAAAAGGTGAACTAGATGAAACAGTTTTGCTAATAAATCAAAGTATGTTTGCTTGTAATCGGTAAAGCTTGATTCAACATATTAACAATTCCTTCAGGAGATTTGGTAAAATCATATATAATAGATTTAAGATACAATAGACTTTATCATTCTTGACCATTTTTAACTACATGATTAGTCAAGAATAAAATGACCATTCTTTTAATAGAGTCAAATATTCGTCATATGAAAGCATTAGAGATACATATATATTATATATTTTATTTTCAAGTTTGCAATGAAATAGCTAATAATATATATTCTGATTGGTAAGAACATATCAGTGAAATTGCTGAGGATTACAATTCCCAAAGTTATCAAAATAAAATAACTCTACTACAAATATGATATATAAAAGACTTATCAAATAGTCCACAAATAAAAAAGATATTTAAATAGTTGATTAACAAACTTTGAATGTGATTAGGTTAATGTGTAAGTTTTATTTTTAGCATTTTAATA